TTCTCACTCCAGTTCTCTCATCTTCTTTTGTCTACTCCCCCAATTTTTTTTTTCTATTACCATCCTGACAAAAGAAGTTATGGAAAACAGCTGCTGCAGTTTTCTTGTGAGAAAAGCAAATTTGCCTATAGGCTGTGTCATTAATTCAACCTAAGAATGATTGGAGGCAGGTTAGAACTTTGCAATGGAAGCCATGATATTAAACATATGTCTCTCAGTGGGTCAAGGCCACCCAGAGGCTTCCAGAGACCCAAGCAAAACCAATTTGGAAGTACTCCAGCAGAAGGACATTACACAGTATACCAGCTGAACCCATAATGCCAAATCTCTGGCATTATCCCTGAAACCTTCTATATACCAAGACTGATTTCAAGATTGTTTAAAAGTTTTATATCTACCTTCCGCTGCTCAGGCCTGCCCATATGTTCCTTACAAAGCCCCTCATCGTTATTAGGAGATGTTGTGTTTCTTTTCGTTTGCACAGGATGTACTGGACATAAGATTGTTAAGATTTTTTTTCAGAAGTATCCATTATTTCCTACTATTAAAATAGAAGATATTGTTCTCTTGTGAAAATGATGTGTTTTCGTGTATAATAACAGCTAGGCAACCCATGATCCCTTGGATTATTATTTCAGAGAGATATATGAATTCCTCAATGCCTTTAACACCGGCAGAGATTCTAATGGATTTGAAAAGTTCTTAAAAATTCAGGAAGGAGCCCACGTTGAACTGTATAGCATAGTCAAATATCAGGAGTTGACGACAGGAAACGTTTTAAGACATTCTGTATGATGTCCTAAAATGTTTTATAAAATTCACCAAATTTCAATTCTACGGGTATCGTGAATCTCAGGTTTTGGACATATTCTGTAATATGTTGAAGTACCTTGATTCAAAATGTTTTGCCCAATTATGCACCATTTTGCTCAGTTATAGATTACAGACACAAGAGTTTTAGTAATACAATGTACCTTGGTACTCAACTGCTTAGAAACTCATCAAATTTGGTACTCAGTGCATTTTGATGTGCAAATTTTGTCCCAGTATTCATCGTTCACTTGGTACCCAGCGCACAAACTAGAACTTGTCGGTGTCAGTTGCCTTGTGACTCACTACATTATTCCTTATTATTCCACTACATTGTTCGGTACTCATCGGTTTTGGTACTCATTGCACCTCCTGGAACCAATTCACAATGAGTAGCGAGATACCACTCTGTGTAAATTCAGCTCAATATCAAATTGGATGATTTCCAGCTGTTTGGAATATTTCCAATTGGAGTTACACCTTTTATTAAAAAAGTTTATGGAACTGATCATAAAACATCCTAAAATGCACAGTGGTCCAATCTTTGTACAAATTTAGTATGAAAAACGTATACAGTGCAAAGAGATTGTGCATGAATTGCATCATATACTTAACCTTTAGTCTTTCTTTGCAATGAGGATGAATAAAGATTATTAATTTTTGTTTACTCTTTTTTTAGACAAGTATAAAAACGTCATTAAAAATGATGTAATGGCTCCTGAGATAAGAAATATCAGGTTTCATTCTTCTGAGATCCTTTCAACAGTCTTGAATAAATCAGCTACAACCTTTGCATTTTATCTGTTTATTTGTTGCCTGAACCATCTGGTTTATCCCTATTCTGCCTTACATTCAGATCAATGGAAAAGTTATTTACACAGGTCTGAATTGCAATTACGGAGTATAACATGGGTGACAGAGAATACAGACAACCGGTAAATTAGAAAACCAACAATTCAGGTTCAGATTAGAAATGATGTTTAGCTTTCTTTGTTAAAAAAAAATGAAAAACAGCTTCTTGAAGCAGAAGAATTGCAGGAGAAGAAAAAAGAGAAAAAAAGGTCTGCTTAAATTTTCCTCCTTTGGGTCACCCTCCCTCCCAGCTGTATTGTACTTTGCATCCAGCAGCTGCTATTCTGTACTTCTTCATATCTGCTGGACTATCTTCAGTGCTCACCAACTGTGGGGGCCACAGAAAAAATATTTGGTGGCCCTGTGCTCTGGTGGGATGTGGAAGACTTTCTTGTTCTTGGCAATAGTACAGAAGTAGTTCATCACTGTCTTCTACAATGTTTTTCAACTGGAGGGGGAGTGATTTAACCTTTCAGTTGAGCAGAGGCTACAAAGCAGTAGAGCCATAGATTAGCCACTATTTAGGACATACAGGGACGTTCTTTAGTTTTTATTCTGACAGCCCTGTTTTGTAGTTCCACTCAAGTTTCCCACCTCAAAAATTGCAAGACTTTGCAGTCAGTTTTAACAATCATAGATAAAAAAGAATCATGAGGATGAGGATGATTATCACTATTATTTGTATGCACACTGAGAGCTTATGCATCGGAGACAAATTCCTTGTGTGTCCAACCACACTTGGCCAATAAAGAATTCTATTCTATTCTATTCTATTCTATTCTATTCTATTCTACTCTACTCTACTCTACTCTACTCTACTCTATTCTATTCTATTCTATTCTATACTAGCTGTACCTGGCCACACGTTGCTGTGGCTCAGTCTGGTTAAATTTACGTCCAACAGATGGTGCTGTTTTTCAAAACAAGCATGTTTTTACATGTTTTTTTCAAAAAAAAGCATGTTTTTACCTGTCACAGGTGTGACATCTATATAATAGGTATATAAAAACATGTGCGTATTCAAATGCAACGTTGTGTCAAAATTTCAAAGCAATCGGTGAAGAACTTTTCAGAGATTTAAGATTTTCAACAAACGAACATTTACATTTTTATTTATATAGATAGATGTCATAATAATGTTTGGGGATGGCTCTCTTTAAGCACGTATCCTGCAGGGTACAAATGCAAAGACAATGTTGTGTTAGGCTCTTTCTTTGCCAGAAGAAGTTTTGCAAAAACCTTTATCTGGTCATCCAGGGAATGGCCAAAAAGGGAGTGTTAGAAGCTCATTACTCTGCAAAGTTGCCACGAACAAGTTAGGCAGTAATTCAGTGTCTGACTGCCAGGGTCAAGTCCTTCGGGCAGATGGTTTTTTTCTGAAACTTGCATTCTATGACAGTTGATGACAGGATGTCAAAGCTGAGCCCTGAAAAAGCCCTAAGGAATTCATTAACTGTAAGATGGTTAGAATACAAGACACTTTGGAACAGATCTTGCTGTGACCCAATTGTATTCCAGTTTATACAACTGAGTTTTAAGGATCCTTCATCT